TAGCAAGAGCATTCAAGAGCATTACACACTATATGGTTTACTAAATGAATTTGCGTTGGTGTCGTCAGCGTTGTCGATGTTGTTGTTGACGTTGCTGTTGTTATTCTAGTTGCTCGCATTGCCATGAAATGCACAAATTTATTGAGCACATGTCGTATACGTAATATTACGCATAAGCATCTGCAGCAAATCGCCTGACAACCAAGCAACCTTAGCACATCTAGCACAATCGACTCTTTGTTGATATTAATGATGTTATTATTGTTGTTCTTGTTGTTTATTTTGCTTGCCATGGTACGTATGTGGCATTTTGAGTGAGTCAATGATAAATTCTTGCCACAGAATATTTTTAGTTGCACTTTAAAAATGCTTTTGTTGTGGCTGATTTTGTTGTTGTTGGCTTTGTTTCCTAGAGAGCTGACAGGAAGAGCGTCACTAAAAATATATTTATCTAACAAACAAGCACTCGCTAGCCATGGTTGCTAAGTTTGCCAACTGGTGGGCGTGGCAGCACCTCATTGTCTCGACCCAAAAATAAACGCTTGGACCCGTAAAGAGACAACGTTTTCCGTTTTCTCTCGGGTTTACCAATTTAATTAAATGCATAACAGAAGCCACAACAACAACAGCAAAAAAAAAATATAAAAAGGAGCCAACATCCATATATATTTATATACATATATATACATTCAGCGAAATGGCAGCTAACAAATTAATCATACGTCATCTTGTCAGCTTTATGACATTTCTGCATAAATCTTCTGTTGCAAAAGTGCAACCGGGTGTTAATGCTGACATCTGTGTTTATGGGGGTGTTTGTGTGCGTGTGTGTGTATGTGAATGTGTGTGAATGTGTGTATGTGTGTGTGTATGTGTGTGTGTGTGTGTGTATTTGCCACCGGCAAATTGTTTCAAATGTGAGTAATTTGTGTGAAATTGAAAAATGCCAGCGCAGAACGTGAAAAGGGTTTTTGGTTTCGTTGTTGCTTTTGTTTTCGCAGCTATTGACAAATTTCACAGCCGAAGCAAGCTTTTTCTGTGCATAATAAAATGGCGGTAGAAGACCAAAAAATAAATGATGGCAAGACCCGCTTAGGCAAGCTGAAACTTATATACCCTTACAAATACCCTTACTTGTCTATAAATTAAGCTATTCCGACAAAATGTCCCTATGGCAACTATTTTATATGGGCGTCTAATCCGACTGACTACAGACAATTGATGCTGATCATAAATATATATATACTTTATAGTGTCTGCGACATTTCCTTCAATGCGTTACACACTTCACAACAATATCGAAAAGCATTGCGCATCAGGGTATAGAAAAGCACTCGGCTGCTAAGTGGGAACCCGCAAATTCAACAGACGAGTGAAAGTAAATAGCTGCTACGGCAAATAGCTCATTTTTTATGTTTATTTTTATGTTGTTTATAGAAAAGTTTAAATTGTGTCAAGTTTTGTTTTTATGCCGACAAAATGCAAAAACTTTTTTCGGCGCGAGAGAAAAACTGCAAAAAAAAAAATGGAGGCAATCGACGAAATTAGGACAAGACAGAATGAGGAAAGATAAAGCAAAAACCATACATTTTACGACAGTATCATTCTTGTTTTTTTTTTTTTTGGATTTTTTTTTTTTGTGGCTTTTGCGGTTTGTGCAGCTAAGGAAACTGTTTGACAGTTGCCTGGACTTGCTGGATACACGACTAGTCCAATGTAATCCACCCCCATCCGAAAAGCGTTGGGACTGCGACCTAATCGCATTACTCATAAAAAAGGTACTTAATCGATGGCTTTGCCGCGGGCTATATTGTTTTTTAATTAAGTAACTAAGATAGTCCTTATATTTGAGATAGCAGCCACCTAAACTCAGAGCACGATGTGTCCATTTATATTAAATATTCCCGCAGCGCTTTTTGACCGCCAGCCAAAAAATTTGTTTGCCTCTTTTTAAGAATTTTTTTATTGTGGTTCAACGTGATGAAAAAAAGTGGCCAAAAAGTAAAACTCATTTATATAAAACTCGACAAACAATTTATTGCATTTTGCTGGAAGGGAAAAACTGCAAAGTCTTATATAATACAAAAATCACAATGAATTGTAAATTGTCACAACGTTTTTTGTGAAGTTAAAACTAATTTTCTATTATGTAATTGTGTGGTAAAATATCTATTTTTTTTATTTTTATTTTCTAATAAATGATTTAAGGATTGTTGATTTTAATTATTCACTATTCAATTAACTACTATTGAAGACTGATTAAAATAAATATAATTCAGAAGACTTCAATTGCATATTTAACATTCAAAAAGTCATTTATTATGTTTTAAAAACGAAACTTTGTTAAAAATTTCATTGAAATTAGAATGTATAATGAAATGGTTAATGGCCAATTAACGAAGAAACCAAAATTATTTTTTATTTAAATTAATTTAATTGGTATCCATTTAAAAAATAGTTGGAAATTATGCACTTTTTTGTAGTTATCATAAAATGCGGATTGATTAAATATCAGTTAATACAAGATCACAGAAAACTTGGAAAAATGATTAAAATTAGGCTTAGAAATATTATGATAGTTGTTGATAAGCTGTTTCTCAACAATCCTCTCAGAAATATGAATTTAAATATAAAACATACATAATTCCTTAAAGTGAAGCTCGACTGTTGAATAAAGCTATTGCAGAAGCAATATACAGTAAATTTGACTACAAATTTAATTTAATTATGTTGATTTATTTTTTCATAGAAACTGATTTATGAAAATTGTCTTTTAATTAAAAATCAATGTTTTCTTTTTAATTTGGCTGCAGTTAATGACTCGACTCAACAAGCTTCATTTAACAAATGAGCTAGGAAATTAGACTTCCAAATGGAACTCATAATGTGCGTCTCTTTAATTACAGAGTATTTAACCTTGGCCACCAACCAAAATACAAATAATATACATGGCTTATCGATTGGTAGCCGAAGCGGAAAAGAGTGACAGTTTTCAAGTGCCCCAACTTGAACATTATTGAAAGTTTTATGAGCCACTTTGCGAGAGAGAGAGAGAGTGAGATCTCACAACTCAAAACCCTTTCATGCTCAACTATTTACACATCAATCGTAAGCCATAAACAGGAACAGCAGGCAGGAGTAAAATACGTAAAAAATGTTGACAGTAAACCTTGTAGGATAATCCCACGGCAAATCCATTGCCCAAGAAGCTAACATAAAACTTTGTACGCAAAAGCTAAAGTGAAGTGCGTCTGTCAATTGGGCTTGCTGAACTGACACCAAGGAGAGGAGGAGAAAAGCAGGCAGAACAGCTCAAACTAACAACTAAGAACTAAAGTTGACCCAGAATAAAAGTTAGTAGTTTAGTTTGTTTAATTTGGTTTTTTTGGGGGCTCAGGCACATAGTCTGCCTCCCACCACCGACGGCCTGAATTAAAAGCAATAACCAAAAGGTTTCAGTCAACGCTTTAAGCACATTCCCCGTGAGAATTGATCTGACATACGTGTCTGCCCACACACTCACACACCCACACATCTTTTTACTTATACTCGTATATGTCAATGTGTATAATAAGCGATAAATTAATTAATGCTCGATAAAGCCATTGTCGCCATTAATTACTTCACACGAGACGACGTAGCTGAACGTTACTTTAATAGTTTCCTTTTGTTGCTCCCGCACACATTAACCCCCCCCCCCCCTCCTTCCCACTGCCTACACTGCCCCTTCTGCACGGTAATTAGCTGCAACGCCAGCCACTGGGGACTAGGTCGCGGATTGACGCAGGAATGGCTCTTGTTGGATGTGATGTCTAGTTTTATGACAATATTTGTTGCCTGAATAACGACTAGGTCTGAGTCTTGGCCATGAATTAAATGTGTTGCAACAGTTAATGATTTTATTGGCACTTGACTTGGCAGCAGCCACTCCCCTCCTCCAACTCCGACTACAACCATCCATTAGCCAAGCGTCGAGCGAGAATTTATGAGTCAGTCTCATGAATAATGTCAATGTCAAGAACAGTAGTCGGGAACAGATGTTAGATGGGGGCAGTGGAGCGGAGTGGGGAGGGGGAAAGCAATGATCCCCATTCTCAAAGTCAAAGCTGCTAAAATCTGTAAAAGCAAATCAAATGCTTGTGTTGACTAGCATCACAAATCGTTTATATATATATATTTTTTTTTAATGTTTTTTCGCTCATCTTAAATGCCATTTCGATTTTGGGGACTTCCGTTTCCGCTTTGGCTAAGCACCACCCACCCACCGAATGGTGGTACTCTTTGTCCGTAATGTCCTTGCCCATCGTTGAACACTTCTGCATTACAACACGCACACAATCACAACAAGCATACATGTCCTCCTCACACACACACACACACACTCACATACTCAGCCAAAAAGGACACGAGACTCGAGATTGCGTTTACATTTACAAAACTGAATAATGTATACAATTTCTTAATTCTTAATTCGTTGCCTATTAAACTTCACATTTCACTTTCAACTGATTTAAATCAAGTGTAATTCGATTTCAAAACTATTCGCAGCACTTGCTTACGCTTCCTTTTTTGTTTGCCGCGCGCGTCCAATGGGTTCGAAAGTTCCGCTGTAACTGAATCAGTTAACGGCACCTAGCAAAATTTATTTATGTTGGACATCGCACAAAAGCTCGCTAAAGGACTTTAAAAGGACGTTGAAGCTCGCACACATTTCAAATTCGAAGAGTCCGCCTATAATGCTCTGTCGCAAAAGCTGATTGCTATGAAACCGATATTCTGTTCACGGGAACTAGCTCAAAAGTGAAATAAATCATTTATTTGAATATTAAATGTATTCTTCAATAATATAATTACTTATTATTATTACTTTGTTGCTTTACTAATGTTGCATTAAATTTGCAATTAGCTTGCACCTCTTTGTAATTTAGTAACATGTTACCTCAGTGTCAAATAAAAGTATGTTCAATGAGAAACAGCTGTTGTTTGAAAAGAAGAAGAGCAGCTGTCGTGGTAAAAGAAGAAGAAAAGAAAATAAATACAAATACAATACAAGCGTGATTAAATATATAAAATAAAAACACTATTTTGTGGTATTAAAACACACTTCTTCCTGCACAAGCCATGGCCCACTATAAGGGTGCCGCCAGCGAGGCTGGACGAGCAGCGCAGCTGATGAAAAAGCGTGAAATCCAACAACAAGAAATCGAGTTCCGCAAAAAGAAAATTGAGGAGGAGCTGAAGCTGGACAAGATTGAGAATAAGTTTGCGACACACTACGATGCCGTCGAGCAGCAGCTCAAATCGTCGACCATTGGCTTGGTCACCCTGGATGAGATGAAGGCCAAGCAGGAGGACATCGTACGAGAACGTGAAAAGAAGCTGGCCCAAAAAAAGGACGAGAAGGATCGGGAGAAACAACGCGCCCTGGAAGCCATACAGGCGGAAAAGAACAAACAGAAGCGACAGATTCAGGCATTATCATTCAATTTAGATGACGAAGAAGATGAGGATCAGGACAATGAAGATTCCGATAAAGACAAGGAGGAGGAGAACAAGTTCCAGAAACCGCAGCCAGTCAAATGGACCGAATTGCGAACAGATGAGGTACCCCTAAAGAAGAAGAAAATATGCAAAAATCCTGATGTGGACACATCCTTTCTGCCCGATCGTGAGCGTGAGGAGCAAGAGAATCGTCTGCGCGAGCAACTGCGTCAGGAATGGGTTATGCAGCAGGCAGAGCTCAAAGACGAGGATATCTCAATCACATTCAGTTACTGGGATGGCTCCGGTCACCGGCGAAATGTGCTCATGAAAAAGGGCAACTCCATCTATCAGTTCCTCCAGAAGTGCCTGGAACTGCTGCGCAAGGAGTTCATCGAACTGAAGACCGTTATGGCCGATCAGCTAATGTACGTGAAGGAGGATCTGATACTGCCCCATCACTACTCCTTCTACGACTTCATCGTGACCAAGGCTCGCGGCAAATCGGGTCCACTCTTCCAATTTGATGTCCACGATGATGTGCGGATGATTAGCGATGCATCCGTTGAGAAGGAGGAATCGCACGCGGGCAAAGTTCTCCTTCGCTCCTGGTATGAACGCAACAAGCACATATTCCCTGCCAGCCGCTGGGAGCCATATGATCCCACAAAGTCCTACGACAAGTACACAATCAAGGATAAGGATAAGGACAAGAGCAAAAAGTAATTGTTTTCCCTTTTGCCGATTTTTTTTACAAATAAAAAAAAATTAATCGAAATTTGAAATTGTAATTGCAACTGCCGCTTAAAACAATTTATTTTATTATAATTAAATATCGCAAAAATGCTGATATACATTTATTTTAAATATTATTTTATTCCATACCATTTACTCATTTATTTAATCAAAAGTAATTAATCGACAATCGAAACTGTGTTGTTGTGCTTTTACAACACTGCTCATGCTGATGCACATCTGGCCGCTCTAGCGCAAGCCAATCTTTAAATAACAATGCAGCCGTCTCAAAACAAATATATTGTGCGCGGGCCTCAAAGCATTTGGACTTGAACCGCATCAGCAGCAACAACACCGTCAGCGGGTAAGAATCAACTGACAACTGACGGATTGCAAAGCAAATATTTTGAGTGTTCCAATTGTATTGGTATGCGTTGCCACCAACACATCAATAATTTGTGGGTGCGTGTAACAGGGTAGTAGAAATCTAACGGATATATTTATGCTTAAGTGTGTGGGTGGTGGTGGGCGGTGATAGTGCGAAATTTAATGTTAAAATCAAATGAAACGTTGCAAACAATTTTTCTGTATTATAAGTGGGCGAAAGACGACGTGTAAAAAGTGAATGGAATTTGTGTTACAAACTCGTTTCAAGCGCGCACAAATAGTTTTGTTTTTACTGTAATTATTATTATTATTATTTGTTTTTGTCATCACTTTCACCCGTTCGCCTGTTTTGTGCTTGTGTTGCAAGAAATTATTATAAATATTTATGTGGCTAGTCTGCGGTTTGTTTACCATTCAATTTGCCAAAAAAAAAAAAAAAAACCTTTTGTACATTCTTTGATCACATGCAATTCTTGGCTATACTTTAATTTTTTTGCTTAGCTCAGCTGGATTTTGCGGGAGTTCAGCAAACTCGATAAGACTTTATTTGAGGGTAATTCAAGCAGGAGTAGATACTACTATGCAACAAGTAGTTGCGGCTGGCAATCTGTTGGAATGCTTTGTGATTCATTAATTCATTTCTATTTTTTATAGGTTTTTTTTTGTTGCGAATTTTCCATTAACTAATAAAGCTGCGACAAAAAGTTGGAGCAATTAAGATGAGATATTTTGGCGGCATTGAAGGGTAAGTAAGGTCGATAGTTGCTCTTGATACATGAACCCCGATTATATATATATATATTTATAAATAATATTATACACATATCAAGTGCGCAATTGATTAACAACGCGACAGATTATTGTTGTAATTATTATTCGCACTTGACGGATCAACTCAAGCCGGGCTATTTAGCAGATAAAACTATCATATTTATATACTCTTACAGAGAGTATTGTGATTGTCTTGTGGTACATGCAAAATTAGCTTAATATATGGGTCTCCCCGTAGGAGCAGTTAGTTGAATTAATTTCAGCTTTTTTATATTTGTTGGTCGATTTGATCTGCCAAAACTTTGAAAGAGTATTTAATATTCTTCCATTCTTTACTTTTCGTTTAATATATAATTTTGCTTCATTTGTGTTTTTAATACTCTTTAATTCCAACATTAAGCTGATAAACTTCACTTGGCTAGATTTGATTTGCCAAAATTATGGCAAGCGTATTTAATCTTCTTCCGAAATGACACATTTTTGTTTGTTTTTCGTTTAATATATAATTTTGCTTTTTTATTTTATTTTTATTAATCTCTAAACCTAACTAAGTTGACTTGATAAACTTCACCAGCTTTATTTCGGGAACTTTCTTGTTTTTCGTAATTGTTCGCTGGCCATTCATGAATGGCACCAGCACCTCCGGTATCTGTATGGAGTCGTTCCCATTCCCATTCCCAGCGCCCTGATACGACTCAATCAGAGCGATGAGCAGGCGGGGAATCGCAGTTGCGGTGCCATTGATGGTGTGGGCATATGCCAGACTTCCATCGCTGTCGCGTCTGTATTTAATCTGGAGTCGCTTGGCCTGGTAGTCTGTGCAGTTGCTGCAACTGGAAATTTCGCCCCACATCTGGCGACCGGGCATCCAGGCTTCAATGTCATATTTCTGGTATGCCGGGGCTCCCAGCTCGCAGGGCGGCATGTCGAGCAGTCGGAAATTGATGCCCAATTGCTTGAAGAGCGCAATTTCCGTGTTCTTGAATTGCTCGAGGATTTGCTCGGATTGCTCTGGTGTGGCAATCGCAAACATTTCCACCTTGGTGAACTGATGCACCCGATATATGCCCTTCTCCTCGTGCAGTCCCGAGGTCTCCGCCCGATAGCAACGACTCACGGCGGCCACCTTCACTGGGAGTTCCTGCTCCGCCAGCTGCCGCTGGGCAAAGAAACCAGCGAGCGCCATTTCCGATGTGCCCGACAAACATTCGCCCGTGTCCAGCTTATAGACCTGGGTGCGTTCCCCCTCGGTGCGCATGCCACAGGCCTCGATGATATTCCGGGGCAGTATATCCGGAACAGAGATCAGCTTGAAGCCTTGCCTGGTTATTGATTGTAGTGCATACTGTATGATGGCCTGTTCCATCATGGCTAGTTGACCCGTCAGATAGTAGCTCTTGTGTCCCGTATAGTTACCCAGATGATCCATGCGATATAAATTGAGAGCACGCGCCAGATCCGAGAACTCTTTGGCCACGCCCTGCTCGGGCAGCACTCGATGCTTATAATTGGCCAGCTCCAGTGGCTGATTGTCATAGCCAAGCAGACGTGGATGTGTCGCATTAGGCAGCAGTTCCAGTTGTTCCTCCAGTTGCCGGCGTGTCTGCTCCTGATCCTGGCCCGTCTGCCCAGTGCTGTGTAACGCTTGAACCAGTTGCCGGATGAGAGGAATATTGTTCTTGTGATGGCGCATCTCACAGTTCCGCTCCAGCTCATCTAGTTCCGAACTGGTCAAAGCCGGTTCAGCCTCGTCATGTGGCTGACTTATTTTTGTTATTGTTCTTGCTGTTGTGATTAGCCGCTGTTTGGGGCTCTGTTGTAGCAGCAGCAGCTTGCGCACATTTGTCAGCAGCTTCATTTCAATTAAGTTTATGTTTTTCTATTGTTTTAATTAGTTTGGGATGACACTCGCCCTTGGTCCGCCCACAAATCGACACGCACTTTTCAACGTCAATTACCAACAATTAAAAAATTATATTGTGCAATATTAGTTGTGTGCAGCGATATGGCAACGCCGTATTTCTCATACAGACAGCGTTGCCAGCTTCGAGCTGTTTGTGATGACGTCACACACGAGCTATATTTGAATTCTGCCAAGCGCCAAACAGTTTATTAACAAAATAGAAACAGCAAATTTATATTTATCAGCCACGTTTAGCTAATAATACCCACGGGAGATAACAAGCGACAATTTGTTATTGTTATCTCAATTGTGCAGCGTTGGATTGCAGTTCAACATGCTGGCAACTAGCGTGCATAATAACGGCAATTGAATGTGCACACACACACTCATGCACACATAGACGTGGGAGTGAGGGTGGGTGGGTGGTCCGCTGCCGAAAGAAAATCGGAAATATAAAAGTTTATTTATGGCATATGATCTTTGTCATAAGAGCAAGAAATTTGTTTGATTTTGATTAGCATGTGCCAACAATTTGGCTGGCTCTTCCAGGTTAAAATGGCAGCCGCCAATTTGTTGCTTTTAATGCTATCAAGTTTTAAATTGGGTGCCAAAATAAATGCAAGCCTCCTTCTAAAGTTTGAACCAGGGAAATCCAGCTAATACCAGATTGTATTGTATAGAAATGTAGCTTAAATAAATTTAACTATATGTAGTATAAAAATAGCCATAAACTGATAAGAGGCGCCATTCATTGTACCTTTTCTTTAAGTTGATTATTTTTAATGAACGTCACCAAATACAGAATATGCCAGCAGGTCTTCAATTTCAATTGGGCACAATTGAGTCGATTTAATTGAATTACTATTGATAGAGCTGACACACATATTTGTATTGTATTGTCCATTGTTCGTTGGCCTTAGTTCAACAATAAATGTCAACCGGATGCATATTAATAAGTTAACGACCCTTAGAGATTTTGGACATTTACAGAGTATTTTCATGCATATTGCAGCGGAGCAACGCACTCCCGATTGGTTATCTGCGATGAGAGCGGCGAATCTGTTGGCACCACCAGTGGTTTGGGCACAAATCACTGGGGCATCGGCATACCAGAATGTGCACGCCGCATTGTTGATATGATCGAGCGTTGCAAGGATGAGGCCAAAATAGCCAAGGACACACCATTGGCGAGTTTGGGTCTCAGCTTGAGCGGCTGTGAGCAGGTAAGCGGGATTCAGCTGACTTGATTGAGACACATATACATTTGCAATTCCCAATACTCCCACCACAAACAGGTGGCAACCAATCGCGAGTTGGAGCAGGAGTTACGTAACACATTCCCAAATCTGGCTGATAGCTATGTCGTCTCCAGTGATACAATGGGCAGCATGTTCACCGCCTCATCCATTGGCGGCATGGTGTTAATCTCGGGCACTGGCTCCAATTGCCTGCTTCGCAATCCGGATGGGACCACAGCCAATTGCGGTGGTTGGGGCAATTTTCTGGGGGACGAGGGCAGCGGTATGTTCCCATTTAATGTTAACTCGCCATCAGGTCTTTATCAGCTCATGACTGGAATTTGTGAATTCAATGCAAATACCTTGGGATTTGCGATTAGGATTCGCTGATAGCGCTTGATGAACAACTAATCTCTATTGTTATTCTCTGACAGTTCCCATGATTAATCGTTTGTTATTTCTTATCTCTCAGCTTGGTACATATCCTATCGAGCCGTTAAGGTGGTCTTCGATGACATGGATAACCTTGAGAAGTCACCGGCGCCCATCGACAAGACCTGGGCTCTCATCAAAGAGCACTTTAACATAGAGACACGCTACGATATGCTTCCACATTGCTATGCCAAGTTTGATAAGCCCTTCTTTGCCAATCTTTGTAAGAAACTGGCTCTGAGTGCCGAAAACGGGGACAAGCTGTCGCAGTCGCTCTTCCAGGAGGCTGCTGTCCTTTTGGCACGCATGATTAAGGCGCTCTTGCCCAAGGTGCATAAGGATTTGGTCAAGTCCGGTGATCTGAGCGTCGTCTGCGTTGGCTCCGTGTGGAGCAGTTGGAATCTGATGAAGGACGCTTTCACCAGGGAGATCTCGAAGATGAGCATCGATTACAATCTCAAGCTGGTGTGCATCACCAAGAGTAGCGCCTATGGTGCCTGCTATTTGGGTGCCGACAGTGCCAAATTCAATTTGCCACGCAACTATGCCGATAACTTCACGATCCTCCATACCCATCCGGTCAGCTGTCCGGCAAACAATGGTGTCTCAAAGAAGTGCTCTGGCTAGGAAACCAATTTCATCTAAAATCCAGGCATTCCAGAATTTACAGTGCATAAAGAACAAACATTTATACATATCCAATAGTAAAAATATAAATATAACACTTGCCAGAAAGAAGCCCATTTTCTAAATTTAAGGGTTTGTTAGAAATACGTATGAAAATTTTATTCGATAAATTTCATTGTATTAAGATTGTGTATATATGTGTGTGTGTGTTTATGTATCTTGTATCTGTTTACATACGTATATAATGGCGTATGTATTGTCAATTCGGTTTCACATGCATATTTATTTAGTTTTCTTTATATGCGCGCTGGGTAATTGGCTATTTCTCTTTTATTATTAATACTTTTCGTTTTTTTTTTCATTTTTGCCCATCGTCGTGTCAATTCTTTGGCTAATTTGATTCTCGCATTATTAAGCAAAATTAATAGTTTTGTTTGTTTTTTTTTTCACTCAGCACTGCACATACAATATTTGAAATAGTTTATAAAGAGAATGCAATAGATTGTAGCATGGAATTTAGTGGTAAATCTATAAATATATATAGCAATATATATGTCTATGTAATTGCATAATAGAATATACATAGTGTAAAGGATATATATCTCACAACAAAAAAAATAAACAATTGTAATAAAATCGAATGTATTCTCAGGCAGGACACATACAGTTTTTTGTTTTTTCCAAATCCTGCCGTAAATGCCCGCATATTGTGTGTGTGTGTAAATTGAAATTGTAATTCTGGTTAAATATTAACGTTAGTGTCTACTACGATTAGCTTAAATGCAACATGAATGCAAATCAATTGTTCATGCTTTGCCGCAGCTTTTGTGGATCCTGATAGTGTGACGATGAGGATATTACCGATGGATGCTGTGGCGGCGGAAAACAACGCACATGCTCCACATTTGAGCCCTCACCATCGCCGCCCTTCAAATATTTGTTAAGTATTGAGAAAATTTGTGAATTTAATACTTGAAAGCGTCTAATGCGGTCCACCATGCGTTTCAATTGCTGCAATGGATATAATTTTAGATAATTGTTTCTTGATCCCATTCCATTTTATTTGATTACTCACAATGCCCTTTACATCCTCATCTTTACCATCGACGCGCTGTACTCGCAGAATGTGATAGCAAAAGTCGAGAGCTTCGAAGCGACGCTGCTGGCCAAGCAGCACAATCATGACACAACCAGCCCAGTTAAGACCCTCGCCGAAGAGCTCTTCGATGGTGTACTCTGTACCGCGCACGGGAATACAGTAGACAAACTGTAAGGCGGACCATAACCGATGAAATTCGGAACATTCATCCACATGAATGATGCCATTGGCTGGTGGTGGACCACACCATACGGGATCGTCCAAATAGCTCTTGACGCGATTCAAGATAACCTCAAAGATGCTCAGGCCGCAGCAGAGGCGCTCGCGTGTCAACAGATCTCCCTCGCGTGCTATCATTGCTTGCTGTAGATATAAAATAGGTATGCATTATATATGCATTATATATAGAATATCAAGTGATCGAATATAAGCAGCTGTTTACCTTAGCAGTGCCAATTTTCTCCACATTCGACACTATTTGCAAGTTGGCAAACTGAGCCTCAAGACGCTTCTGCTTAGCCTCCGGCTTTTCATTCTCTGCAAGAGAAATATAAAATTAAAATAAAATTTGATTGAAGATCAATTCAGACGCACCTTTGCAGAATGGTCGGGGAAATATGTTTTGGAAGAGCGCTGCGTGAAGCAGGTCGCAGACCTCCTCCTGCGACAGAGCCTGCTCGATCAACAGGCAAAAGATAATGCAGTTGCCAAACTCTCTGAACGATTGAAATAGTTCCGTTTTTGTGTCCGGATATTGCACAATGTCCGTGAGATGAGCCTGATAGTAGCTGAGCACGCCGGGCGAACCGTATTCGCAGCGTGGAAGTTTGCAAGATTTGGGCATGGCAATCATAAGTGTTTTGGTGAACTGCAGCAGTGAGCCCTGTATTAGAGGCTTTACAATATCCTTGAGTATTATATCCATGACAACAGCGATGCCCTGATATCCCAGCAGCCGGCACATGGCATGGAAATGTGGTGATCCCACAAAGCCCGTATACTGCCCATACTGGGTGGTATAAGCGGCATTCAGCTGCTTTGAGCCCCACAGATAGTAGTGGGACATCTGGGGCGGCTTCTCCCGCTGAATGGGCTGCGTTGACGATAAATTGACCTTGGTGCGTATAAAGCTGCAAGAGATGTCACATGATTACTTGGCCAAAAAACAATTGATCGGATGGCTTACCGATTTGTGGCAGCATTATAGCAGTAATTAACAAGAAAATCGTAATTCAATTCGACAAAGACGTGCAATGTGATGCGACCATAGGGCGCGAGGACATTATGATTAGCTTCCTTAACCATGCCATCAAAATTATCCAAAGCCAGATACTTGGTGAGCATTTTGTGACAAATGCGATTAGCCTCCAAAAGACCCTCAAGTTCCTGCAATCAATATTATGTGGCAAATGATATAGCTCAACTTGTGGTTGGGTTTTTGTGGTTTTTTTTATTATTGTTGCTTACCACAATGCCAGTGATGTCATTGCCCTCAAAGCGACTGATGGCCAATTCGATGCTTTTGTGCATATTTGCATTGATGCGTTGCGTAATCAGTTTGTTCAGATCAATGGAACGGCCTAAAATGCACAATTGAATATTACATTAGAAGTTTTTTCTACAATTCGATAGGAATTGTAATTTCTTACCCAATAACTGAACATGTCGTTGTTTCAGCAGTGTCTCATAGCGATTATTGCGTGGATATGATTGAAAATTAAAGCCGAGAACTTCACACTCCAGACGAAAACGTTTGTCCAAGAAAATGCTGTTTATAAAAACGAAGGAAAGAATCTTTAGTTAATGTTTTTATTCGGATAAATGGTTGAGCTCACCTTCCAGCCAGCTGTTTGTAGTGGGCAAAAATCTGTTCACTGAGTTTGTAGACAAATTGGTCAAAGCATAAATTGACCTCGGCCTCGACCTCGTCGTAGAGGAATTGCTTGCGGAAGACAGTGAGCGCATAATGCGCTGAATCGTTGTACAAATCTAATGGATACAACACAAACCTACACGATAAAGAAACAAATTAGAATCCATAATCGATAAGAGTATATGTAGTAAGAACTTACTCCATCATGGAGGGCTCCTTGGTTTGGAGTATGTGATCGGTGAGAATCCAGGGCATTGACATTTCAATGGGGAACTGTATGCGTTTCTCCATGGTGATCAGATCCTTGCACTCCTCGTTATGCGTATGACGCACCAAACACTTGTTCACCTTACGACCCATGGTCATTTCCAGATAGAATTCGCGATACCACAGCTGGGAGAGATCGCAGCACTTCTGCAGGGTGTCGCTCAAGTTGAGCAGGTAGCTCCAATAAAATGAGGTCTTGTGGAACGTGTCAATCTGCATGAGACAGTTGCCGTCGATGTCCTTGCGCAGAGTACGCTTGCCACCACTCTTGTCTGCAATCAGAGACTCCAGCATGGTGCGCACCATATACAGCTGGGTGGACGAGGGGCCAACATTTAGGCGTGGCACATGGATTCGAAATCCGCCATCTGTATCCTTTTTGCCCTTGGACACGGGATCATCGGTGGGCTCATAACCCTTCTGCCAATCAGCGGATGTTTCACGCACCGACATAATGATGCTCCGGATGAGATCCTTCTTATTCTTGAACGCCTTGCGCAGCGGTTCGCGAAGCGTAAGCTGCACAAAATCCTGTAGCTCCGAGTATATGTTGCGTCGAATGGCCTCGCACAAGACCGTCTCAATGCGTGCCATGAGCACTTGGAGGCCCTTGATCATCGCTATGACCTCGATCAGAGCGAACTTCTCCTCCGACGTATAATTGTAACGAGTGGCGCGCTCGTATTCCTCGGCCTCCACGGGGCAATCCTTATTCTGATGATGATCCGTGGGATGCAGCAGCTTCCACGAATAGAGCTCCGTTACGACACTGGTCCACTCGGAGAGCAGCTGGAGGCCGCGCAGTGCCAAATCAGCCGTAATGCGATTCTCGGCATCCGACGGATTCTCCTTGACGGTGGTGGTCACCTCGTTGGTATAGCGCGCCAGCTCGGATATGTATTTGACATGATCCTCGCGTATCTGCGGCAAATGCACCATTAGATCCGCTTGTGGACTGATTGCATTCGAACTGGACAACGGCCATTTGCTCGAATCGAAGTGCTTGCTGCGCTTTATGTAATTAAATGGTGCGATTTGCATATCCCCAAAGAGCGGCACCACCTCCAGATTTTTGAAGATGCGATCAATGCGATCTAAACGGATCTTCTTCTTCTGGTCCAGTTTGTTAATGTTGCAGCCATCACTGTCCATCAGAAATAGACCAAAACCCATGACTTTCACGAGCATATGCTTCTCCTCGGGCGTTAAATACATCTTGGTCTCGAACATATGGACACAGATGTTGACCACATCCGACAGCAGATCCTCATAGCCAACGATCTTCTCCAACGTATCCTTGACGGTGTCACGAATCTTGTTCTGTGTGGCCAAGAACATGGACAGATTCTGCGACTCCTGCAGCGTATGTGAATCGGACATCACTTTGAGGAACTGTGCCGCCCGTCGATACGTGGAATAATCGTTTTTCACGCTAGACTTCATGTTCTTCAGCTCGTCAAGCACGGCAAACATGTTGATGAACTTGCCCAGCGTCAAGAGATACGCCTCCGAAACGAAATCCTTGCGTTTCTCTGCATGACACAATCGTTTCACCTCGCCCGAGAATGCCTCAATTGCTTTGCGTTGGAAGTACATAAAGTTGAGCAGCTTATTCACCTCGGGCGCCAATACTTCCACAGTTTTCTCATAGATCTCGACACGATTGGGCTGCTCATTCGACTTGGGCTGTGGAATGGCACGCGAACAGCAGCGCCAGGTGTAAAGCATAACCGCATGCTTCTGACCCTCATCCAGCAAAACGTTCTGCGAGTTAAGAAGAGCATACATAAATGACATTTTTCCAATTGGAATATATTCATTCTGATACGATAATTTTCATTTGCTAACAAATTTTTTTTGCGAAAGTTGCATATAAAATGTTCTTGATTTTCTCTGCATTTCCTAAACACCAATAATAATAATAATAAAAATAATTATTAAGTGTTTTGCATACCAGATTTGCATGGGTAGTCGCCTCCTCGATGTATTTGGCAATGCCCGTAACGAAACCATTGCGATCCTCAAAGTTCGTATCGAAATTCGCCTTATAGATAATTGAACAGGGCTGGGCCTCAATGCAGGGCTGCTCGTCGGGCAGCGGAATCTCGTCGAGCACTTCCACATTGGAGAGGGCGTCGGCTAGCGTTATCTTCTCGGTCATGTTGCTATATTTGTCATCACTCTAAAACTCTGACAACGGAAGTGCAGATAAAATTTGCACTGAAAGGCGGGGCTCGGCGCACCGTTTCTCAAAAATCAAGATTTTCTCCGTCACAAATACACAAACACAATTCTTTTCTTTTTTTTTGGCCAGTCAACCAGCGACGCATACATGCAGTGTTGCATGAACAATGTCGGCGAGTGTGTGCGAATGTTTAGTCTTAAATGAATATCGGCAGCTATTGTCAAGCATCGATTTATCGATATATTTATGCATTTGCAACAACTCTGGCTCAACGTTCGCGCCGGAATGCCATCACATCTTTTCCAGCACTGCGAGTAGCCGGCGTCAGTCGTGTCTTGTAGACAATTTCTGTTATCCACGTTTTTCTTTCCTTGCTGTGCGAAATCAATATAAGAACCTCAAGATGTCGATGTGGTGGGGTAAGTAATAAATTGCTCACATTTAAATGGTTAGGTGTGCATTTAATAAGCACATGCATTGCCTACAGCAAGCGTCAATTCAGCAGTATTTCCAATTTCACCACGTGTTTGCGCCAAACTTGGCGTACAATAGAATTTTTTATTTGCCTATTCTAAATATGTGCAATGTAAAAGTGCGCTAAATGTATTGCTTTTGATTATTGCAGGATTGAATATGAAACCAAACCGGAAATACACACAAACCATTGTGCAGTCCTTCCATCTCTCGGGCGCCGCTCTTGATGAGGGCGAATCTGCCAAACTCTATCTGACGGCCAACCAAAACAAGTACATTTTGGCCACATTGGACACAAGTAAAAATATTCATCAAGTGCCGCTCGATTTGAACTTCTGCATCGGCGATAAGATTGCATTCCAAACAACTGGTAGATCGAATTTTGTAAAATATAATTTGCAATTTCAATTTACTCACACAAAAACCTTTTAATTTTTTGTTTAGGCAACGCAACAGTTTCGTTGATTGGCTACATGCACGATGCTGAGGATGAGGATTATGACGATGAAGAATATAAGGCACTCGCCAAGGAATTGGAGAAGTCGCAAAAGACTGGCGGAGGCAAGGGGGCAGCCACAAATGACTCGGAATCTGAGGAGGGCAGTGAGGAGGAAGAAGACGACAGCAAGCTGGCTGCTGAATATTCTTCATTCCTCGATGAGGAAGAATCTGGTGACGAGGAAGGTGAGGAAGACGATGATGACGAAGACGAAGAGGATGACGATGATGACGACGATGATGATGAAGATGACTCTGAGGCAGAAGATGCGGCACCTCAACCAAAAAAAGCCAAACTAAATGAAAACAATAAGAAGCCAGCCAAGGAGCAGAATGGTGTGGCCAAGAAAGAGGACAAGCAGCAGCAACAGCAAAAGTCGAAGAAGGATAAAAAAGGTGCCGCCGCACCTGAGATCAAGAAAGAGCAGCCCAAGGGAAAAGATACCAAGCAGCAGCAGCAATCTGGCGGTGAGCGTGCCATAACTGGTGGCGTGAGAGTCCAGGACGTGAGTGCTGGCAGTGGCCCGGAGGCCAAACAGGGCAAACGCGTCTCCGTCTATTACATTGGACGGTTGAAGTCGAACAACAAGACGTTCGACAGCATGCAGAAGGGCAACGGCTTCAAGTTCGCATTGGGTGCCGGCGAGGTGATCAAGGGCTGGGATGTGGGCGTTGTTGGCATGAAGGTGGGCGGCAAGCGGCGCATCACTTGCCCCCCGCACATGGCATATGGGGCACGCGGCCAGCCGCCCACAATTCCCCCCAACTCGACACTCGTCTTTGATGTCGAACTGAAGGCGGTGCACTAATTCCTTTTTTTCTTTCTATCCACAATAAGTACATAACTTAAGCATACAAAAAAAAACAAAAGTTGCATCATTTAGGTTTAAATATCACAGCAGAAGTGCGCATTTGTCTTGTCTGCATATTGAACGTTGATTTAAAAAATAAAACAAATTTATAAAATACAAACAGTTTTTATTAACTATAACATTCACTTAAGCATTCTTCTGAGTTGATTCTGTTTCCGGCTGGCCCACATTGAGCAGTGGTTCCGCTGGCAGCTTCCAGTGCTCGAGGACGTAGGGTAAACGCTCGCTGGGATCGGTGCTCCAGTGATGGATGCGACACCTGAGCGTTGCCTGTTCCAATTTGTTGATCGTTATCGTGCAACAGAATTCCTTGTTCTCCTTTTTAAGGTCGGGTCCCTCGATGCGCTCCTTGGGCAAACGAATGCACTCCTCCTTGCAGTGGAAGCCCGCCTTGCGCAGCGATGCCTTAATGTGCCACGGCTCCAGCACCCAAGGTTCGTCCTTGTTCATAACAACCGCCAGCACGATGGACCCCAGCATATTCACCGTCCGTTGCGCATACGCTGAACTGTGTTGCACTGCCGACTTTTCGGCTTCCGTCTTGGAATACTTGGCAATGGATTCGGGTGTTTTGTAGGTCGCCAATCCGGGCAGCAACAATTTGTTGTACACAAAATTGGGCTTCATGGAGACGATATCGCCTTTGTCGCCAACGCCCTCGACAAAAGTCTTGAGCACCACCTCCATGTTGGGGCGCTTCTTAACCAACGTATCCTCCACCAGCTCGTAGATGAAATGCTTTGCACGCATTCGTCGTGGTTTCTCATTGGTCTTGTGTAACAACGGTTCATATTTGCGCTTCAAGACGAACGTGGTCTGTTGGCAACAACTGCTGTTAGCTACTTTTATATGTGCTTCGATATGCAGGCAATACTTACCCGCACTTGCTGCTGTAAGCTGGGTGCTCGTCTTAGCAAATTTAACTGTGTAACGCAAATGTTTTTCAACATTCTGGCCAATGTCTCCCGGTTATTTCAGTATAATAATAAGCTATCGTTACCGCGTGTTAATCGATTGTGTTATCGAGTCAATAATAACATAGACGCATTAATTGACTCCTGTTAGCGCAAAATGCGATCGCCAACAAAATGCTGCAAATATCGATAAAGGTAACACGATCGATGTACTGTCGATAAATATGTGCGCGCTCAAAACAAGTTTAATAATCGGTTGGTATAAATATGTCCGCAATCCTAAGCTCTAATCGTGGCTTCAATCCATTCAATATAAGCAGAGACAAGTGTGTAAACTCCCGGCCAGCCATCAAGGCCACAGGGTTTTATACCATAAGACACGATGCCGACAAGATAATAATTGCTGCTGCCATACATATCGAGCATAACTAGTGTTAAAAAAATTACAATTGAACATAAATTATAGATTTTACTGCTTAACGTGATATTACCTAATGGGCCACCAGAGTCACCGCGGCACGAATCGATGCCATTCACTCCGCCAGCGCAGATTTGGTTGGCGGTAACAGTTCGATGTAGTTGACTAAAGAAACGATTATGGCATTCTGCTGTCGGCACAGATTCAAGTATCGCCTTCTGTTTGATATTGGGTGTGATGTTGTTTTCAGTGTGACCCCAGCCAGAGATAACCAATTGATGGCCAAGGAATATATTATTCTGTTGCTCCTGTCGCAGGGGCAGGCAAATCGGCGAAATGGTCTGAGTAAAGTTGACCGGCGACTTAAGTCTCAACAGGGCAATGTCGTGCAATTGATCATTGTCGCTGGCGGAATATTGGGAATGCGGAATAATCTCAGAGACAGACACATCCACATGTGGATCGTTGCAGTCAACTTTGCCATTTCTCTCCGTTGTGCAATCCCGATTCATATTCGTATCCCATTCACCCAGACGCACGCCGGTTACCCGAAAATTGAGGGGAATGCCAGAGACGCAATGTGCCGCAGTCAAAACATATTGATTGTTGATCAGGGTGCCGCCACAACGGTGGCTGGTGACATTGTCAGCTAGAACAGACGAACTTAGAGTGACTCATGTGGCAGCTGTGACCGTCCTTTGACACTTACATCTTCTGTACTCGACGAGTGCCAGCCAGGGAAACTCCTGTTTGCCGGCGTTCACACCGCCAAGAATTCGATCTGCAAAGTTGTCACCACAGTTAGGAGCTTGGGGCAGCAAGTTGGAGTTACGCGAGGACAAAGTCTGCTCTGGTTGGCTCTGCTCATCTATTACGGATGGGGGCTGAGCCTGGCGATTATTTTCACTTCGATAGATGGCACAGCAAATCTACAAAAAAAAATATTATTTTATCAACAGATACGTCTGCATATACCCAACTTACCTGCACCTGGCCATCTCTATTGCCGCATTGGCTCCTCTGCAGTAGGGTACGCTCAGAAGCTGTGGGCGACCTTTGGAGCAGCTCAAAGAGATAGTCGCATTCTCGGAGCGGGATGCAGATTCCAATTTGCTCCCCTGGCGTCGTACAGCTGCCAAATATTACTGCAACAAAGACAACGGGGAATACCAACAGATTTAAATACATTAATCAATAATCATTGTTTATTCATAGATTAGACAGGGTCAACTTCACCGCTGATAACCAGTTGTATTCTTAATGTTGTTGTTTTTAACTTGTTTAGCTTTAAGTACATTTCTCTGAATTAACTATAAGCTTCTCTTGTCTTTCTCCTCCCGTCCACACACCTTGTGCGTAGTTTTGGAATATGCTTTGCAGCAATACTAAGATCAGCAGGAATTTCATTCCGATTTATAAATTTAAATATGTTCTCGGATTATTGTCAATTGCGCAGACGAGCGTCTTCTGCTGGCAGTTGAAATCACACTGAGAGCGGCTCGAAAACTTCAACGTACATCTCACCTCATCTGCAATAGGAATTGAGATTAAAGCTTGCACTGATAATGAAAGTCAGACAGAAAGACAAAAACTCACTTGCAGTGATTGTGAATTTGCACTGCAGAAGATTTTCAATATTTTAGTTAACATATCGCGGCAAAATTTACGTAACATTAAAGTATCGATACTGAAAATCAATCGACTGTTATTAGACAGAGTTAATGCTGTGTTAATGCGAAATGAGTCTGCCATTAAAGCAATTTAAACTCCTGACATCGATAAGAAACTCACTAATTCACTATCGATAATATGTTTGCGCTCTAACTAACCTTCCCACTGAAATAAGAAGTAAGCAAGTTATCAAAATACATAATTAAACACCAAAATGAATTGTATTACGAGTGATTTAATAATCATTAGATTAAAATGTCTTTTGCACATGCGAGTAAGTTCAAGTTCTTATGGTCTAATATTGGTTTCAATCCATTCAATATATGCGGAGACAAGAGTGTAAACTCCCGGCCAGCCAGCAAGGCCACAGGGTGTGGGACCAAAAGACACGATCCCGGTCAGAAAATAGTTGCCAAAGCCTTCAGTGATTTCCTCCAAAACTAAAACGAAAGCAAAAACAATAATGATAAGCGATAGACAATCGAACAGATCAGTTGAACAATTACCTAAAGGTCCGCCAGAATCGCCGTTGCACGAATCTATTCCCTCGACTCCACCAGCGCAGAGCTGATTGGGGATAAGTGTGCGTCGGGGGCTATAACGGCGGGCACATGCAGACGCAGAAACAGATTCGATTTGGGCCTTCTGCTTGACAGTGGATGTTGCATTTGTCTCGGTGCGACCCCAGCCGGCGACAATCATTTGCCGACCCAGGAATAAATTATTCTGATGCTCTGGAAGTCGGGGAAGGCAAACCGGCGATATAGATGCAGTGAACGTCACCGCATTTCGGAGACGCAGCAGAGCAATGTCGTGATGCTGATCCTTCTCAGTTACAGGGTATTGGGGATGCGCAATAATCTGAGAGACTGGCACGTCCACATACGGGTCATTGCAATCCCTTCGACCATTTCTCTCCTGGATGCAATCCGGATTCATGGACGTGTCCCACTCGCCCAGACGCACGCCCGTCAAGCGCCAAGTATTGGGAATCGCAAGAGCGCAATGTGCTGCAGTCAGCACATATCGATTGTTGATCAAAGAACCGCCACAGTGGTGTCCAATGACATTGTTAGCTAACAAAAAGAAAAACGAAAATATATATATAATTTCACAGCAATCAAGATGCGAGTGGTTTTTTGATTACGTTTGGTGTATGCGAGGAGTGCCAGCCAGGGGAACTCCTTTTTGTCGGTATCCACACCACCTAGGACGCGATTTCCAAAGTTATCACCACAATTGGGTACTTGGGGTAACAAACTGGAATATCTCGTTGGCATCGCGGGTTCAGGATTAGGTTGTGGTTGCGGTTGCGGTAGATTTCCTGTATTTCCCCAGACTGGCTGGGGTATGTTGCGACTGTTGGCACAGCAAATCTGCAAGAAGAAGCAAAAGAGTCTCTTTAATGGTATCTATAAATAGATGCATGCTTATATCCTAGATACTTACCAGCACCTGGCCACTGCGAAAGCCGCATTGACTGTTCTGCAGTAGAGTGCGTTCAGCTGGGGAAATTGAGCGCTTGTTAACCATTTGGTAGAGATAATCGCATTCCACGAGCCTGATGCAGGTGCCAGATTGTTCCGCTGGCGTCCGACAACGTCCAAATATTTCTGTAACAAAAATAATAGAATCAATGTCAATAAAAATTAAACAAAGAGAGCCATCGTCATTCTCAGAGGAAAAAGCCCCACCGTTATGTTCAAGCAATAAAATTCTAGTCGAATTTCGCTGGATCGAGTTCACTGCTGATAACCAGTTGTCTTGTTATTGCTTTTGGGTTTTTTTTGTTTTTTTTTTTCTCTTTATTTTTTGTTTTCTTATATTTTTCCTAACATAGTTGGGCTATGACCCCAAAGATGGTCCCGATCTTATTTGTGAACTTACCTTGTGCGAAGCTTTGAAATATGCATTGCAGCAATACCACACCCAGCAGGAGATTCATGCCGAATTTACAATTTATATCTACACAGACTTTTATGTTTGGTACTGTTTGAAATGAAGCGCTCGGACGTGCGCGCTCCTATGGCAGTTGAATTACACTGAGAGCGGCTTCAAAAAAGATCAGCTCGATTCTGCTTACGAGCGAACGCCAAGCTGTGGTGAATCAGTTTGAGAGATAGAGACAGGGACTTATCAGGCAGTGGTGCGAAAAGTTGCTGCTCTCTGCCACTGATTAATGCTATATTTACATATATATGTATGTGTGTGTGTGTGTGTGTCTTTGTGTGCCTGTGGATGTATATATGTATATATATATATGCGATAAACAAGAAATGTGTATAAGATGATAAATTGGGAGAGGGATATGTAAACTTCTTCATATTTGCTTTGGCACCCCGTCATTGCCGTTGGCCTCATCAATGCAATTTTCGCTTCAATGGAGCAATGATTTCTCTTCTACTTGAGTTTGACAGGTTTTGGCCCGTTTTAATAGCCATCCACTCGAAAGTGCTTGCCGCATGCTGCTGCAGCCGACAAGTCGATTGAGCGCAAAACTGAAGTTCATTTCTTGTTTATTCTTTATTTCTTCTTATTTTCTGTCTATACACAAATATACACGCACAATACCCATTTACTTGCAAGCAAATGTATACAATGCATATAAATATCGATGTGTTAATTAAGTGTCCATGCACTTAATTAATTAATGTTGAGGCTTAGAATCTTTTCAGCCTTCCAAATATTGTTAAAATTAAATGAAATAAATGCTAAGCGAATAATCGTGTTTCCAAATAAAAATGCCGAATTATTCCAGAGCTGAAACCTTTTTCGCTTCAGTTATGATAAGCTTATGGTTATTTTTTTTATTTATTTTCTTTTGTTTTGACAATCTTTAATTGACGAGATTCGCGTGAATAATAATTTTTAATGAGTTCGAATTAAAACTGGCATTTTTTTATATGGTGAATCTTGATTCATGAATTTGTCAACAACAATCAATTTCAACGTCGACTTAAGATCGACAATCTCAAATCCTGAAAGTGTTCTTCGAAACGAGAACAAAGAAGCTGCAAGCTTAATTCAAAGATATTTATTCGATGAAAAACGGTCTTAATCTAAGTATATACCTATACCATTCATTGTTTAAGAATAACTTTAGCTGAACTACTTTAAGCCCCGAATGTGCTCTTCAAACGGAGACTTTAAAGAAGCGCACTTTGTCTAAGTATAAACATATTCTTGGCCTCAGATCTGCGATCTAACAACTTTTGATACATTTTGTACTTGAAAAAGAATTTCAAGGGAAGCATACTAGTAATATTGTTTCCTGTTCATTATTATTATTTTTTTTTTATTTATGCTTTGCGCTGTTGCCAATATTTAAATAATATTCAATGTATTTGACAGTGGCTGTTTCTGTTTGGATAATTGAGATAAACAATTATTTTGCTGTACGTCAAATTTGATGAGGGTGCTGTCATTTTTGTATATATTTGTATTTTTTTTTATTGGAATAAGATAAAATTGTACCTCTTGCATGTCTCCCGTCATTGCATACATCTACTTTTGTCATCTCTTAGGGTAGCATTATGGCCTTTTATTACGCTGATTGTAAATTAGAATTGTTAATGATTTTATATATAAAATAAGAAATTACTCACAATGGTGACTTACATTTATGAATTTTCTGTAACCGTAAAATGCCAAAAAGATCCAAATGAACGCAATGAAAAATGATATAGTAATATATCCAAAGTTCAGTTCAGGATTCTGGACTTTGTAAGTTACAATTGTTTTCTTGGCATATGGTGGAAAGATAAACTCCAGTATCTTGAATTGTAGTCTACCTAGGTATGTCTCGGGAGTGGGCTGCTTAACATCACTAATTGTACGTTGTACATCTTTCATCTTTCAAATTCAATCCAATATTCGAACTTATTTTGTGTATTTTATGTATTATGCCCTTTTTGATATCAAGACGGTATTACTAACTAAAATGTTGCTCAATAATTCATTGCCTTCTTTGTTTACTATGCTCCATCAAAAGCACAAAATTAAAAAACGAACAATTATCGAAACCACACCGATAAATCGGGTGCATTAAATATTATCCAAATGATTCACTCTGAAACAACAATATTTTCCCGGTTTTTAGAAATAGTTTCCACAATATAATTTCAGAGTCTCTTGTGAAGACAACGCAACACGCATTGCTTAAATGGAAATTCACATTTACTGATAGGCATGAATAATAAACTGGTACAGATTAGCTAATAGAGAGCGTCGCTTAAAGCTGTTAACGGCTGTGCGACAGTCTGACTGTCCGACTGTGGTAGTTTCCCTGATAAATATGCACATGGCAGCAGGCGGGGATTACCTGTGTGCACAGAGGAAAGCCAAAAAACCCAACTACTTAATGCTATTGGCTGACCAGGCGAATTTCAAATGCCCACATTATCGGTTTGAATGGCAGAGGGGGTATATATTGTGTATATATGTAAGTGTGTGCGTAACTGAGTGTGCGGGTGTGCGAGTGTTCTCATGTGAGTGCAAATGAATGCGAAAAGTAAGATGAATGATTTCAATTTGTTACAAGTGCTTTTAACTTTAGATCCTGGTCAGAAGGCAGCCACGTCCGCATCATCTTGTACTCTCGTATGTGTGAGCATGTCTGCTGTTTGAGTGTGTGGTGCGTGTGTGTGTGTATATTTGTGTGTGTGTGTGGGGGGGGGGGGGGGTTCTGTTTATTTAGTGGCGGTTAGTTTGCTGATTTAATGCGGTTCGCCACTTCAGGAAAGAGTGGACGTCGTCAATTTTACCATTTCATTTGACAATGCATTTCATTAGGGGTAATTCCTATTACATTAAAGTGGAACTTTAGCCAGACCACATACAGATGGGGTTTGTTTTTGGCTAATAAACACGACTCTTTACACTTGGCTGACAGCAGAGTGTGTCCATGTGTTCTGGGTGTACGTTGGCTCCATTTATGGGGTATACCTGTTCGGTTTGTATAATTAAAAGCGTTTCGCTGCATTATTTATAAGCAGCAGGACTTACAGGCACCCAGATACAGAGTTCGTATTTAGTTAGGGATTCGTGACAAATGGTTAACCATTTAAGGTCAAATCATTGTTGTTTCGCCAGGCTGCTTTGCCAATATGTATGTTAATGGGTAGACGAAGATAAAACTCACATTAAGTGACAAGCGGAACTAAACGCATTAAAATGTCAACGATGTCAATTTAGGAATCAATTGTTCAGAAACATTGCTGAACTTTTTTAATTAAACGAAATATGCCAGAGCGGGGCTGCGTGAGGGGGAGATTGGCAGCGTAAGGAATAGAGAGCTGCGCACTTTCTGTTATTGATTTGTAGTACGTGTGACACCCCTACTCCTACCCCTACCCAGCCCGACGCCCCTCTTTTTTTGCCGACAAGGTTGCTTGGCAACCCCCACAATCGAATTCTTATGTTTGCCCACTTCGGAACATTGCAGCAAAAATGGAAGAAGACGACAGGCAGCCAGGCTGGCAGCCAGGCAGTTCCTTAAATTCCAAACACTTTGGTATTTGATCTCTAAACAATGCGGCCTCCGCATAATGACAGGCAACATGAAATGCCAACGATGAGTTTTACCAAATACCAAATACCAATAAAAGCGCACAACTTCACTGCAATGAATATTTATTCTGTGTGTGTGTGTGTGTGGGAAAAACTCTTAAGCACTCTGTTTTTCTTTTATTTTCTTTCCTTCTTGTTGTTTTGCATTTTTCCTTTTGATTGAACTCAAATACTTACTTGGCTTATGTAAAAGTCGGGGTTGCCATTAAAGAATGAGAATGAAAAATTTGCATTTAAAAACTCTTTATTGGAAATTAACTCTTTCTATATATTAAAATACAATCCAACAGTAAATACAATACAACATATTAAAATGCAATACAATACAATACCATACAATATAATCCAATGCAATGCAATGCAATACAACGCAGTTGACATACATACATGCATGTATGTATGTATGTGCCTATAAGTAGTTAAGAACGAGGGTCTTAAGTAATGATGATAATCGCATCATCTTTGAAATGCCTGAATATTTATCTTCTTTTTTTTTAAGTATAATAATCGCTAGGATAGTTTTTTAATTGTATTATTCTTTTGGTTTTTTTTTTTTTGTAGTTTTTATTATTTGTTTCTTTTTTTAATAACGCTGAAGTTCTTATTTCGTTTTTATAATATATGGTTTTTATTTAGAATTCTTTTTGGATCTAGTCTTGGGTTGCATCTTATTCTTGACATTCACGACCATCAGGATAGATCTGTTCTGATCAGGATTTAACTGCCAAAAATCTCGTTTGTTATTTTATAAAAGTAAATAACACTTTTTTTTTTATAATTCGTTTGCTTTAAATTTTATTTTTGTTGTCGATCTGCTTATGTCAAAACTATTGTTCGATTTATTTGTTTATTTAAATGTAATTGTAAATGGCCCTATATAACTAATTCTTCTTCTTGGGGTCTTGCCGTCATTTAAAATTAGATTTCGATCAACTATCGTAATATGTATATGTATGTATATTGTATGTATATATTGAATCGCAAATTTATGATTGATTAAGGTATAGAAACTTTAATATATTTCCTTTTTCATTACATTTTTTTTTGTTTTTTTTTGTTGGTTTTTTATTGATTTTTTCTTCGCATATGAATTTGTTGTATATATATTTTTCTTTATTCTTTCATTCATTTACTTGATCATATCAATATATGTATATATGCAAGTATAGTTCATAAAACTTTTAACAATAATTTCAGTCGGTCATTTTGGTATGTAAATTATATATACTTAGACTAAAATTACTTTGCTGCTTTCGATAAAAACTACGTTTGCATTTTCGAAACTTTTGCTTTGCTTTTGTGTATGTTTTTCGTGTTCGTTTTCATTATCATTATTTTCATTTACTTGTAAAATCATTTAATATATATTTTTTTAAATTAAGACACGAAATCGTTTAGGTTTAGATATGATTGTTGTTATTCAAATGATTGATGTAAAATTTCACGTTTTATCCCCCTTAAAAGCTTGGGC